TTTTTCTTATATTCTGATCAATGTACAAGTCAAGTGTTATTAGTCTCTTCCTTTTGTGCTCGCTGTTCTCTCTCTCGTCTCATTGCATTGATACTCTTGGGTTTGCATTGTTGCATTGTTGCATGTTGCTGTGTTAACTTTGTATGTCGATAATTCTTTTGGTGGCGGTATTAGTACTTTATTGTATTTCGTTTCGTATGATCTCGGTATATAACTAAACTAGTTTAACTTCATTAGATACTTAGATTGTTCGCTCGACATTTATCATGGGTAGAAAAACTCGCAATAGGAATTATAAGTCACTAGACATGAGTGATGATAAATACGAAGAAGTGATGAACAAGTGTAAAGAACTTGAGAAAAAGTTAAGTGATTTACAAAAGGAGAACGAAAATCTCAGTGCTTGTTTAGAAATTGCGAACGCGCATAAAGAGTTTGCAAGTTCAACACCCCTCCCATCACCTTTGCCTAATGTCGTACTCGAGAAAAGTTCAGTACCTTACTTTGAAGCTCGTACTCCTGCATCAAATCCCCTTAAGAGAAACATGGAAGTTGAGTACTGGCTTAGACAAATAGAGCTAATTACGAGAGTAAAAGATGATGCAACATTAATAAACGCAGCTAGGTTACATTGCAAGGGAGCTGCAGAGCTGGTGATTAATTCTCCTCTCTTTGAAAATGTAGTTACTTGGCAAGATTTCAAAAATCTAGTAAGAAAGAAATTCCGTGGTACAAGCACTTCTGTAGACTTTTTCCGTTTCTTGAATGAAATTATATTAGCTCCTCATCAATCTCCTCAAGATTTGTATATTGAAATTCAAGGTTACGTCTATCAAGGTTTGAGAGATTATCCAGTAGCCGTGGGTAATGCTGAAGAGCTGATCACGAGGATTTTCTTGCAGTCGCTTCCTCTTGGGTTACGTGAAATGGTGATGATAAGGTCGGATGCTCCTGTTGACGAATTGGTTGATACAGCGGCTAAAATTTGGAATTGTAGATCTGCACGTAAACAGAATTCTCGTTCGCAAGTTGCAGTTACCAATGACAAGGATGAAATTTACTGCGCCTTCCATAAATGCAAAGGTCACTCCACAGCTTCCTGTAGAGCTAAACCACCCGGTAACGTATGCTGGTCTTGCGGTAACCCCGGGCATCAACGTCGATCGTGTCCCTTTTCAGCAAGCCAGGCTTCATCGACCTCCCCATCGGTGGACGCCGCAGGCCTTTCCTCGGGATGCCACTAACATGCATAAGTCTGCAGTTACAACGGGTCCAGTTAATGACTCGGTTTCTGAAAGTTTTTCTGAAAGATGCCATATACCTAATTCTGTGCCATTTAATTCTAAATATATTAATCCTATTTCTGATACACCTACAGGACGACCACTTATTCACTATTTTGTGATCGGTCTAGGAAAGAAGCCTTTCTCGACACGGGTTCTTCAGTTTCTTTGGTAAAAAGGACTTCTCTGGAAAATTTCAAGCAGAATACACCCCTGTGTGAAATCCTTAACAGACGTCTCTGGATCAACATTGCAAACAGGAGGTGAAGTTGACATTGACATTCAGATTGCAGGTATGAGTTGCAAACACAGATTTGTGGTAACAGATTATCTAAAGTTTCCCGGTGACGTTCTCTTGGGTATGGACTTCCTGAGAAGATTTGACTTCAAAATGGTACATAAACGTTCACCATGCAGATCTTATCTAATACTGCAGGATATCAGGTTACCTTTGAAATACACTGATAATGTCTCATGCCGTATCCAGAGTGTCAACTCGTCCAAACCTGTTTCTACTATATCTCTTCAGAAGCTGTTTGAACACCGCCAATCTCCATCTTATGCCCATGTGCACAGGACTACAGTATGCCCTCCTCATTCAGGACGTTTTATTCAAGCTTCCGTATCAAACTCTTCTCTCTTGAAAAATGTAAGTGACGTTTTCATTTCTGGTTTGATGACCTCCATACTGATTCCAAGAAGCATAGTCAAGAATAAAGATGGGAAAGTTGATATATGGATAGTTAATGACTCTGCTCATGCTCTGAAATTGCGTACGGGCACACGCTTGGCTGAAGTTGAGCCAGTTTCAGAACTTTCAGTTTCGACCATTTCTGCTTCAGACCCCACAGATTTCTCTATTGAAGAAGGAAAACTTAAACATTTGCCTCCTAAATCACGTAAGAACTTGAAAGATATCTTGCTTAAATATAAGAGTTTGTTTTCTGGTGAAAAGTCGGCAATTGGAACCATTCCAGGTGCAGTTCACAGGATCATCACAGCAGATAGTACGCCAATCTGCACCAGGCAGTGGAGATTACCACACTCTGCAAAGGAGGTAATAAAGAAGACCTGCCAAGAAATGTTGGATGCCCAAGTCATAGAGCCATCATGTTCTCCTTGGTCCTCGCCAGTCGTTCTAGTAAAAACGACGGTAATCTGCGTTTTTGTGTAGATTATCGTAATCTGAATGCTAAAACTGTAAGTGATTCATATCCATTACCAAGAATTGATGAAATTCTAGATGATCTCCGTGACAATACTTATTTTAGTATTCTAGATGCAAGAGCTGCTTACTGGAGTATAACAGTTGCTCCAGAAGACCGTGAGAAAACGGCCTTTTCAGATGGGTCCAGATTATGGCAGTTCAGACGAATGCCATTTGGCTTGAAGACTGCCCCTGCAACCTTCCAAAGAATTATAAATATGGTCTTATCTCCTGTGCTAGGGAGACATACTCTAGCATATTTAGATGATGTAATAATTTTCTCTAAAGACTTTGAACAACATTGCCATCATCTAAACGAAACCTTTCATTAATGAACAAAGCAGGCCTAAAATTGAACTTGGATAAGTGCAGTTTTGCAGTTAAAGATTTTAAGTTTCTGGGATTCAAAATTTCTACAAAGGTATATCTCCTGACCCAGATAAGGTTCGGTCTATTAATGAACTTCCTCCACCACAGACGTAACTGGAGTTCGTAGATTTTTGGGATGCGTTGGCTTCTTTCGGCGCCACATTCCAAACTTTGCTACCATTGCAGCTCCATTAAGCTCTCTCACCAGAAAAGGCCAGCCATTTAAATGGAATGCAGAACATGATGCATCTTTTCGTCAGCTTCAACATCTTTTAACAACGGCACCAGTATTGCGAAGACCTGATTTCTCTGCTCCTTTCGAACTCCACACAGATGCTTCAAGAGTGGGTATAGGTTCTTGCCTCATGCAAGTTAATTCTGAAGGTAACCCCTGTGCTGTTGCTTATTACTCACGTAAGTTGAGGGGGTCAGAAATTCGTTACAGCGTTACTGACTTAGAGGCTCTTGCCATAATAGAATCTGTGAGACACTTTGATGCATATTTGTATGGTAAATCCTTTACCATTATAACAGATCACAGGCCATTAACTTATATTTTCACCCGAAGGACCAAGTCTCCACGTATGTCTCGCTGGTCCCATGAGCTGATGGAATACTCCTACCGCATTGTTTACAGAAAGGGATCTATTCACCACGTTCCTGATCTTCTAAGCCGTGACATTGCATCTATTGACCTTGCCATAGCTGAACCAACTGCTCTTCGAGAGGCACAACTTAAAGACCCCGTGTGGCATGAAGTTATAAAATTTCTGGAAGGTTCTGCACTGCCACAAAAACGTCTCCCAACATTCTTAGATGAGTTTGAACTTAAAGATGGTGTGTTATATCATCTAAAGGTATGTTCTGACAAGATTATTCATAGGTTGGTTATACCTAAGACGCTTCAGAAGGAACTATGAAAGAATATCCTCATGATTCCACTATAGCCAGACCCACCCTAGGTGATTGATATTAGCCATTTTCTAAAATTATATGATATTGCCGATTTATGAAGGGGATGAATGCACTTTCTTCAACCTGACCACTCCCACCGACAAAAACGCACACTACAACGCATACAACACACAAACAAACACACACAACACAGACAGCCGCGCAACGCACACCGCGACCACACCCCAAGTCTATAACACCAGTCCAACACAACATACACATCACACCACACCACACCACACACGACACACAACCACACACCAAAACATTAACATATGCCTGTATTTATACAATGTATACTACTATAATTAAATGCTATATNATATATATATATATATATATATATATCTATATATATATATATATATATATATATATATATTATAATATATATATATATATATATATATATATATATATATATATTATATATATATATATATATATAATATATATATATATATAATATATATATATATATATATATATATATATATATATATATATAATATATATATATATATATATTATGTATATATATATATATATATATATATATATATATATATATATATATATATATATATATATATATATATATATATATATATATATATATAAATATACATATATATATATACATATATATATACATATATATATATATATATATATATATGTATATATATGATATATGATATATATATATATATATAATATGTATATATATATATATATATATATATATATAAATATATATATATATATATGTATATATAAATAAATAATAAATTATATATATATATATATATATATATATATGTATATATGTATATATGTATATATATATAAAGATATATATGTTGTAGTGAAAGCAGGAACAAGCAAAAGCGCCGTAACAGTACTCAAGACGCAGTCCGCCAATTCGAGTATGCAAACGAGTAGGCAAACGAGTCCGCGCCGTCTTGGAAGTGGCGGGAATTACCCGCATATATACCCCTCGTTCCGCCAAGACAAGGCAGAGAGGGAGCGCGGCAAGGCAACTACTCTTCACTGTTGTCCGAGTCCTGTCCTGTCCCACGACAATTATTGTAAGCGTGTGGGGAAATCTATATATTTATTTTTGATTTGAGAGAGTTTATAAAGAAAATATACGTATCTTGACTTAATATCTTTTTTTCTTTTTA